GGAATTAGTGATAGCGGAGGCAGTTGAGGAATTTGCAGCAATGGAAGTATTTGAGCATTCAGGTGAAGAATTAGCAGTTTCATGTTCAATGCACTTCAAACATGGAGGAACAAATTCATCCTGAGTAGCGCTGATCTGTTGAGCAAGTAATGAATCACACTCCTTCTGAAGATCTTCATAACTCACTCTTAACTGCTCAAGATCTTGCTTTTTGAAGAAATTCATAAGAAAGCTTCTCATGATCAGATAGGAGAGTGTTATGATGAGCTTGAAGGGTGTCAAACTTAGACTGAAGTCTCTGAAGACTATCAGCCAAAGCTTTCGACTGATCTATTTCTTCACCCAACATATCATCACTTTTATCCAGCATGTATTGAACTTTTTCCAAAGCTCTTTGTTGTTTAGTGGCAAGGGAAGCAAGTTTGACATAACTAGGTCCAAATTCGTCACCAGATTCATCATCACTTGACTCAGATAAGTAGCAGTCAGTTACCTTGGCACCTTTTGCCATAAGGCATGGTGCAGAGGATGATGACTCTGGATTGAAAGTCATAGCCTTGCGTGATTCCACGGATTCTTTAAACCAGGGATCACGATGAGATCGATGACCTTCATAGACCTCAGAGAGTCGGTCCCAGATGAGTTTTGCATGGCTGAGATGCATAACGTTCCTGAACTAATTTTGTGACAAGCTGGAGCAGATGATGTCCTTCGTCGTGAGGTTGAGAAGTGTGTATTTGCGAATATCATCAGCCTCCGCCATCTTGCATAGGTCAGTAAGACCAATCTCGGTGACGGTATAGAGTTTGTTGTTCATCGCCATGAGGCACTTCTTCATCATGGCCTTCCACTTGGGATAATCATGACCGTCAAAGATGGGGCAAGTCACAGTCTTCATTCCTGTGGTCAACATAACTAAAACTCCAGGTGGTTAAACCAAAATCACACAGAACAAGGGAGTACCTTGCTCTGATACCAATTGAAAGTGCGTTATATCGACTAGAGGGGGGTGAATAGGCGATTTTTATGAATTCTTCACTGAGGAATTCGCGGGTGAGGAAATTCCTGAGTGAAGAACTACTTGCAGCGGAATAAGTACTCAGAAGTAAACATAACAGTGCATGAGCATGGTCTTCATGATGAAATGAAAACAAGCACAAAGTGCAGAAAGCGTAAACATAGGATAACACAGGATAAGACAAACAGACTAAAGAAATTGAACTGAGGAAATAGAGGAAGTCTTCAGTCAAAGTCTTCAAACAGATATGAACAAGCACTCAACACATAAATGAGGAAATGGAACCAAGTAGCTTGGTGAAGACAATGATTTGGTAGACCAGTTCCAACTGCTGTGACAGTTGTACGTCTGGTTAGGGCGGCTAGGTATTTAAACCCGAGGACACACAGTCCCGGACACCCAGTTCTGAACACGCAGTCCAGAACACTCAGTCCTCACCGTATTCCCCTTGAGCTAAGGTCACACAGACCTCGCCCAATCACTCGTGGTAAGTCTTCAAGTGACTTCCAAACCTTCACAGACTTGGTCACTCGGCGATCCACAATTTCCTCTTGGATGCTCTAGACCATGACGCCTAACCGTCTGAAAGATGCACAGTCTTCAAAGGTAACAAGCGTCGGATCGACGCAGGATCAATCTCTTTAGTGATGCTCAATCACTTTTGGGTTTGTAGGTGTTTGGGTTTGGGTTTTCCTCACTTGATGATTTTCACTCAAAGTCTTTGGAGGATGGGATGCTCTCAAATGACAAGTGTCAGTTTCTCTCGGAGCAGCCAACCAGCTAGTGGTTGTAGGGGGCGACTATTTATAGCCTAGGGAGCAGCCCGACATGATAAGACATAAATGCCCTTCAATGATATGACCGTTAGGTGGGTAGATATTTTGGGACAGCTGGCGCATAGCACATCAATGGTCGGAATTTTGAGTATCAAATTCCTCAGGGCTATCATGTTCCTCACCGTGTAGGCAATCCACACTGGCGAATTCCTAACTCCTCAGTCAGAACAAATTTCTCGGAGACCAGAAGAATTTCGTCTTTGTCACTGAAGAATATGACTGAACTGTATGAGATTTCCAATGGCTTCACTCGAAGGGATTGGTAGGTGTAGGATTTGAGTTGAGCATCACATGGAAATTTTTCCTTAGTATTTCCTCGAACCCCTTTAACAGTACGGTGTTTTCTATGACTCAAGAAAGAGAAAAAGAAACTAAGAAAACAAAAGTCTTCATGCTTCATGTTCTTCGAATGAATACCAAGTCTTCAGGATTACACCAATTTCTTCACTTTCAAAGTCTTCAGAAATCCAAAGTCTTCAATCGAAGAACTTTATTTTTAGGGGTCGACTTTCTCTGTAAATATCAAACTCCTCATAGACTTATAGACCTGTGTACACTCACAAACACATCAGTCTCTTAACCTATAAGTCTTCAATACACCAAAATCACTAAGGGGCACTAGATGCACTTACACATATGATGAATCTGACCATACACATGAAACATCAAATTCGTCCATACACATATGAAACCGAACATACAACTATCTCTGGTTCAGTGAGATAACCAGAGATATTTTAGGACAAAGGCAGGGAGTGCCATGGGGCGGCTGTACTAGTGATGCTCTGGTTGATGTACGACCATCACCTACAAGAGAGATTGAGAGATTGAGGGTTCAGAGCATGCCATGGGGCGGCCGTTCATCCAGCGAGACGAACGACGCCGACGCATCTAGGGACTATGCCGGAAGCGGGAGGCACGATCCGGGCGGCAGCGAATGGGGCGTCGGCCGCTCTGCGTTTTCTCCTTATCTGTTCGAGCGTGGGAAACAAAAAGGGGCGTGAGGGCCGAAGCTGTATGTTTTGCGGGATTTCTCGTTTTAGAGCAATTCGGAGCAATAGACCTCTTTGTATTACGGATGGGCACTTCCGTGGGAGTAATTTCAGCCTGAAATTTGGTTTCAATACAGACTGCCAATTCAGTGTCCAGCCAAACAGGTGAATTGAAAGTTTACCAATACGAAATCCAATTCAAGGGCCCCAATTGGGAGATCCAAACACAGCGTTCGTGAAGTTGGGGAAAATTAACCATTAGTGTCACCAGTAAATGGATATCCATTCGATTTTTCCTATGTCACGCAACCTAGACCTTTCCCACCAAAACAAATTCTATTCTTGAAGCCAGTTGAAAAACAAACATAATAAATTGCTTAACTGTGAAGCTGCAACTATACTGCTTTAAAGTGAATTTGAGGGAATAGAGTCAATTTAATTGGACTGAGGCAGTCTCATACTTTCAAAACAACAATACTACCTTGAGCCGTGCAAAGCCACACCTAAGAGCATTTTCAATAGAAGATGTAAATTTGAAGATGTAAAACAGGAGATGTAAAAATTTACATCTCCAAAAAATGTTTTTTACATCTTCAAAAAGAGGCAACTCCAACAGAAGATATATATTGGAGATGTAAAACAACAACTCCAATAGATGGTGTAAATGAAAATGTAAAACTATACTTCAACTAGCACTTCATTTGAAACATATAATTCAAACATAGCAAATTCAACTACTACTTCATTTCAGCATAATAACTAAACATAGTTCTAATTAAAAACATAAATTAAAGGACGACTACTACTCGTTCGAGCTACTACATTCATCAAGTTACTAGTAGTAGTTGAGTTTGCTATGTTTTTATTAATTAGAACTATGTTTAATTATGTTTGAAATGAAGTAGCAGTTGAATTTGTTATGTTTGAAGTATAGATTTCAAATGAAATAGTAGTTGAAGTATAGTTTTACATCTCCATTTGCATCTTCTATTGGAGTTGCTCTTTTACATCGTCAATATACATCTTCTGTTGGAGTTGGCACTTTTGGAGATGCAAAAGGCACTTTTTAGAGATGCAAATTTACATCTCCTGTTTTACACCTTCAAATTTGCATCTTCTATTGGAGTAGTTTAGCTAAACATGCTTTTAGTAACATATCTTCAGCCTTTTGGGATTCTTACTTCCTTGACTTCATTTTTCAATTCTTGTATTATTTGAGGAATAAAGTCTGGTTATTGTAAAAAAAAGAAGAAGCCACACCTAATGTAGGAGTAGCACACAACAGGCACATGGTAAGAGGAAGTTGATTTTCCACCGGTGCATATACTCATACACACAAACACATATACTCATACCTATGAGCACATACATACATATCCCTATAAACATATTCGAGAGACTGAGCCAACACATTTTAAGATTGATGAAGTCATTACACATGACGGAAACATCGTCTCCCACTGAAACAAACATCGTCGAAGAGCCTCAAATAAATCCAGGAAAAAAGAACACCAATGTCAGGTCTAAAACTTAAAAACCTTGGTGGCCTTTTATTCATTTATAGTGGATATTTGTGATCTTTCTTTTTCCTGACAGGTGGGTGTTTGTAACTTGAAGTAGCTTTTGATTGGCTAAAATGAATGACACCATAAAATTCATCAAAATGAGCTATTAATGATTTCGAGCTAAATAACTGAACATTGTGTGAATTGGGACATGGATTGCCAACGTACCTGAGTACCTGATCAGATTCAGAGCAAAAACAGTTGCCTACTGCATCCACCCAAATTACATCCGTATCTAGACAAATCTAAGACAAGTAATTTGGGACGGAGGTAATATTTACCTGTAGATGAGAATCTGTGCAAGTCTTTTTTTTTTTGCTAGTATCATTCATTCCTGAAACAATCAATAGTTTTGACTTTTGAATACTTTATTATCTGGGCACTACTCCGTTATCTGAAAAGCAAACTTATTCAGTCTCATGATATTTGCTTCATCCTTTGCACAAGAATGCTACACCTACCTTTGAGAAGGAAAACAGCTGAACAACAACTTCCAACCCCATTGTGCAGTCCCACGAAAGAAAAGAAAACAGAAGGGCCTGCCGTAGCAAAAACAGATGAATCGACATGTTCTGTCTACTAGTAGTCTTCAGCCGTCAAGGAAACGAGCAAACTCCGTGGGCTTGAGCGTGCGTCTCACGTCCTCCCAGTTGTCCACCAGGTCCGGGAGTGGGCTGGTGTGGATCTTGACGTGCCTGCTGGACAGCCTCCTCACCGGGAGCCCCAGGAACTCCTGCACCCGAGACAGCGCCTGCAAACCAAACCATTCCAACAACAATGCTTCGTCACCCACTTACCCCGATGGATGATACTCCCTTCATTCCAAATTATAGTGCTTCCTCTATTCCCGTGCTTCAACTTTGACCATAAATTTAACCAACGAGACCGACTGCGGCGGGAGCAAAAGTTATACCAGTGAATTCGTTGGTTAAATTTATGGTCAAAGTTGGACCTCAGGAAGCGCGGGCACACTATATTTTGAAATGAAGGGAGTATATGATATGATATGATTGATATGGCCGGGGAGCTTACATTGTTGTCGCGGATTAAGTCCTCGTAGTAGAGGATCATGTGGCGCGTGGCGCGGAAGCGGCGCAGGCAGGCGTCCATGGACTGCTCCGCGCTTCTCATGCTTGGGATCAGAGATGACACGTCCACCTCCGGTTTGAACCTCGCTAGGATCTCAGCCTGCATGCACACCACATAATGGACAAGAGCTTTACTCTCTTCTTTCACTCTAGGCAACAAGAACAGATGAATGGATCTGAGATGATTGCATGCGAGAGTCACCTCCTCTTGTGAGTGCACATGCGCTTTGTGGGTGCCGTTCAACTGCTTCTCCTTTTTGTCATGGTCGTTCGCTAACACAGAGACGAGCCTCCTTAATGTATTCCTCCTGAAGAGAAATATCACCATCACACCCTTTTTGATCAAATAATCCACAATCTCATCTGGATAATCCATAAGACCCTGCAAACACATGCACGCACCAATTCATAAACTCCCTATTTTATACTCTATCTATTACTACAATCATTCTACCTAAAACTACTTTTGTTTGGCAATCTATATATATATTTGCACCTAAACTTTGTCGGTTTAATAGCAACAGCAGTATAAGATAGCTGTTAAATAACTGAATGATGGTGTACCTGATTTAGCATCCACTTCAATCCAAATGCAGCCGTGCATTCATTTTTTGCTGCGCTGGTGCGCCAATCCAAATCATACAGCTTGTCAAGAGTCCACAAGATCGACGCAATATCCTCTCTGCGCTCCCTCACCGAGAAGATTTCACCATTTGAGCTCACATTGGGGTGGCTGTTGAGCAGAGTCTCAAACCACCCACTGCCTGATCTTTGCATAGATATAATGACGAGGAAACGGACCGGGGTACATGCGCATTCTCCCCTACGATTTTAACAACATGAATGGATCAGAAAGAGTCAAAAACAGAAAACACAACATGTAAATATGCACTGCATTGCTCTACAAAAACAGGGTCAGGTACAGAAGCGAGGCAATCTGTCTGTGTACAGAGGAAGTTTTACGACAAAAGTTACCTGTCGTAACTCATAGGTCTTGGAAAGTGCACATACTGCATCTGATCATATGGAATTTCTGAAGGTCTTTTGCATAGAACGTTTGTTCGTTCTTCTGCTCCGTTCATTTCTTCTTCATTTTCTAAGGCTATTTGAGTGAAGGAGAAGTAGCAGGCATACAAACCAAATAGTGCAATGAAGAAGACAAGCATTGATCGTACAGGAAACAACGTTCCCTTTGAGCTTTTAGATGAGTACACGATCTGCAAATATGTACATATGAAATTCAGTGATCACATGATGCAAAAAATGAACAGGTCGAACAAAAAAATGAAATATATTCCCGTTATGTTACCATTTTTGCTTGCAACATTTATGCTGCATCAACTGAATGTTAATTGGTTTCCACATTTGCGCCAAGAAGTCTTCGTCCTCATTGAGAACACGGCTGACGCCACTGCACTGCAGGTCATTCACAGGATTAGTAAGTTAGGTCTTCAGCTAGATATACAGATATTGCGGTTTTAGATGTTTATTTCTAGCAAATGAAAGGAACTACTAGTGCAATGATCTTTTTATGGCCCCTAATTGTTACGGCATTAGAAAACATGTTTCTGCTGACAACACTTTTTCTCTCGAACACTTTCTGCTTACAACAATCGGAAAGAGTCATATGATGATTCAGGACAAAAAGAGCAAAGTACACTAAGAAAATCGTGGGTGACGCTGTACCATTGATTGATTGTGAATGATTTGCCTATATTGTTGAAGAATAATCAGTGCAGGCTTGATTGCGCAAGCAACAACCTAAGCAGGAGCATCATTTTCATTTACAAGTACAAGCTGCTCAGCAGGAGAACAAAAAGAGCAGCAACAGCAGCAGCAGCAACAACAACAGCAGCAGCAGCAGCAGCAAACGGCTAGACGCAACACACGGCAGTAACTGCTGAATTCTTGTGCCAAGAATTGGACAGAATGCTCGATCAACCGCAAGACAGGCGAGAACCTCATCAATGAAGTATGACTTCACTTGTTTTACCTGATGACCGATGACTCTGCTTCCAGTGCGGCTGGCGGAAGATATAATCTTGTCTGTCGGTTCTGCTCTCAGAATTGGAGGAGAAGGTGGCTTGGAATCCGGAGGGAGAGAAAAAGTGTGAGAGAGCGTTGCCGAGTTTGTTTGCTTGGAACTACTAGACTAGAGAGAAAAGAAAGCGCAGAGGAAGGGAAGTGTCAGTGGAGCAGCAGATATGACAGTTTGGAAGCAGCCAAACGGAAATGGCTATGTGTGTAACTGGGACTGCCAGTGTGCAGAGAAAGAGAGACCATATGGACGGGTGGTACTATGACGCAATTTCAGGGGAAATCACCTACCGCGCTATCTGTGTGTGAGAGAGACAAACGCATGCCTCCTAAATTGTGTGAAACACCAACCGCACAAACACTCGTATAGTATGAGCGCTTCATATGACACAACTGAAGACTAAATTTATAAATTATCTAAGAAAATTGAGCACGCCCAAAGCGTTGCTTTTTTAGTACGATCACCTCAATGATGAGTGACAAACAAGTTTATCTCCATGCATAGGTTCAATTTATTTTCAAATGTGTATTTTATTTGTCAAACAGTTTTATGATAGTTTTAATAGTATAGCCAATCGATGGCTATATGCCACTGCCATCTCATTTACATCTATCATTTTTTTACACTCAATCCTCATTGGATTGGCACATGATTGAATCAACAAACCTAAACTGTTTATTTCCTTTTTGGTTACTTACCACGTACACCACCTTGTGACCATTCACATCTACTAGCTAAATGCCCATGCTTTGCAACGGGAATAGAAAGCCATGAGTAGAAATATTCATTCATTCGAGGAACAACGAACATCAATGTTTTGCACACCCATTGAATAAAACATGTTAACAGTGCTTGGCGATATGCCATGTAAATAGCATATATGAAGCACACAAAAGAGGTTACCCTGTTTTTAGAGGGACGGATTGATCAGTACCAACATGGATGGAAACTTAACGCCTTTTGAGAATTAACCCACAAATTTTCTCCAAGCAAATAACACATTTTATTATAAATTTCCAATTAACATGAAAACGACACAACTATATGCAACCGAAACAACTTTTGCAGGAACAAAAGCAGATAATGGTAAAATAGTTTGATAGCCAAATACATATAGTTAGAACAGAAATGAAGTTTGCAACCAGTAAATGGAAAAGAGTACATAGGAGCATCGGACGCGGTAATGCCATTCGATATGTATAACAATAACTAATTTGACAGTTTTAGGATCTGAAAGACATAGCAGAACATATGCACAGAAGAGACTTGGACAGAAAATTGCAACTTTCACACTGCAGGATTATATAACCTTCAATCTAAAAAAAGGATTATAACCTTCAAGCTGTAGTTTATATGGTACGCATCTTGCTAGCAGGAGCAAGATCAAATTGTAGCTAATAAAGCAATGTTGTAAATTAATTATGCAATAAAAAAACAAGTGTCAGGGTGGTACCTTCATGCATCTTGCTAGTAAGCTCAGGATCAAACTGTAACTCATCGCAGAGATTTTGGAGGAACAGTGCTTTCCTAGGAGCTGCAGCGAAATCAATATTAAAGGATTTTGCAAGCCCCTTTCTATATGACGAGATGATTACTTCTGCTTTGTGCTTCCCCAATCCAAATATATTTCTCACATCTTTCAAAGGAATACGCTGCGATTTTTAATCACACAAATATTTACGTTATTAATATACTAACGAATAAAACTTTTCAATGGACATACGACATGAGGCAAAATATAAACTGCGGAAGACCATGTATCATGTCTTTAGAGTCTCATGGTCATACCCAACTAATGAACTCTTGAAAAAATAGGGCAACTCATATCTTATACACCATTAAAGAATATATAGCAAAAATATTTGATCAATGTCTATATGTGTAAGTTTATTGTTCCGTGCAACGCACGGGCATCCCGTTACACAGATACCTCATACCTATGGTAGCATCCCACAGCTGAAGAAGTTTATTCGGGCAACACTGCATATTCTTTTCATATCCAAGTCTGATCTTAATATGTTATACATCCCACCTGTCACAAAGAAAACTGAGGGTTCAGAAATCTTCCGAATAGAAAAAAAAGCATCCCCATTGATTTTAACATGAAAATTTCTTGGGCATACTACAAATCTATATAAGGATGCTTACAAAAAAAGTGACCATGATCAACTCTAATTCTGAGTATTCACATTGAATATATAAGTGTTGCTAATCTCCTGTATTTGAGAGCTAGATACGGTAGTAATCTCCTCTGAATTTGCACATAACACAACTTGTACATTGCACACACAGATTTGCAGCATACATTGCACCAGAAACATCACACGCAGTGGCCTGCTACCCCGCAAAATGTATTCATCACACACGTTAGCCTGCTGCATTACTAATTGCTGAAGCTGATGATCACAATCAACAAGAACAAGACAAAATCATGAAAAAGAGGGTCGAGGTAGTGAGTCATCAGGTCTAATCGTGCTCTGGCGGGGAGCCGGCGGCCGGGAAGAGGAGCAAGACCCTGGCGGCGGTGTTGAGGAGGAGAAGGATCCCGGTGACGGCGCACTACGGTACGCGGCGACGAAGAACCGGGCGCCACGGATCCCGGCGGCGGTGCGAGGAGGTGGGGAAGCTGTCGCGGCCGGCGGCGCCTCGCACCGCGGCTCCCTCCTCCGCTTCCCGGCACAAGAGATCCACCGGCGGCACGCCATCGCCGCGATGCCACCCGCCTGGCCACCAGATTTTTCGTCCGCGCGCGTTTCGCAACGGAGCGGAGCAGGGTTATGTGGGCCCGGCCGCCACGCCCTGAGGCGGCAGCGACTGTTCCTGCTGCGCGCGACGCGACCGCTCACTCTGGTTGTCGGTTGGTGAAGTTTGGCCATTTCTGCCGACACTGCCCGTGATCTCCTTCTCCTGGCTCTCTCTACTCTGTTTTAAGGGCATCCGGACTGAACAAATTTGGCCCGTTAGTGCGTGTCCATTTTAACTCTCTATTTTTCTGTTTACAAGCCGTGTCTTTCATTTTTTTTTACTCCCTCTTTTCCTAAATACTTGTCTTTCTAGATTTTTCAACAAGTGACTACATACGAAGCAAAATGAGTGAATCTACGCTTTAAAATATGTCTACATACATCCGTATGTAGTAGTCATTTGAAATGTCTAGAAAGACAAATATTTAGAAACGGAGGAAGTATATCGGATCACATACATATGATCAATGAACAAGAAGAGATAGAAAAAGATAATAATAAATAAATGCTTTGTGGTGGGCCTAATTTTGTGTGACTGCGCAGGTCCAGTGACCAGACATGTTTGGGCACTTTTCATACTCATTTCATATATGAAATGAATATAAGGGGCATTTAAAAAGACTTTGAGGGGTTTGATTAGGTTAATTTTTTTGTTTCTCTCTTCTATCCGATCAGTGATCCGTGCGTCCATCTAGTTAATTTGAGAAGCCCGTTTGTAGATGCTCTAAGCAACCAATGGCAACGGGACGGTGTTCTGCATGTGGGCCCTGCCACCACACAATGAGGCGGCAGCATTGTTTCTGCTGGGCGCGACGCGACAGCACTGCGAGCTGTCGGTTGGTGGCTTTTGTCCAGTTGTGCCGACACTTCTCTCATAATACATGACGTTTTTTTTGGGGGAGATAATACACGACGTTCGTTTCTTTATATGAGGCAGGAAGTGCCTCATTTTGCGCAGCCGCCCGCTCACTCCTCTCGTCTCTGCTCTTTACTTTCCCTAGCACACTGAGAAAAACAGCTCAAATAGCTTATTTGATCATGATTTTGAGCGATTTGAAGGCCGATTCAGAAGAAGTATTAGTTGAAGAAAAGATAGATCAAGGTAAGATCTATTCATTTTTGTTGGTTTCGTTCACATGCATGATGTTTTTGTTCTGTTTGATTAGTTTCTAAGTATGTATTTTCTGTTGTTTTAGGCATGATTTCATCACTTTGTGAAGTCATTTGGAGCTTATGGAGTAGGATTTGCCGTGCGAAGTGAACTACGAAGTTGAAGATCAAGGTACAAGCTTTGCGATACATGGATTTGCTTGTGCATGCACGGTGGAAATTAGTTAGTCTTTTAGCCCATCATTATCTATGTGATGTTTACTGCTTAGAAGTTAGAAAAGTTTTCAAATGACGTATGTTGCATTTTTTTTGTGGAGTAACGTATGTTGCATTTATAGCCATTCTTTTCACATGAGTAAGTTGAAGATGTTGTAGATCAATGTTAGCTGTATCCATTACTAGTAATTTTTTTGACAAGCAAGATGTTGTTACTTTTGTCATTAAGTCGTAATTAGTACTTCTGTTGAACGTTTAGGTTGGGTTAGAGCCAAAACTTGGACAACAAATATTTGACAGTATTGTAGATCACGTTAGGCCTTTCAAATGCATTAATTTAGTTTGACATGCGAAAAGTTCTTAATATGCTAATTAAGAAAAAGTTTGTACTGTAATTGGTCATTGCATGATTAAATGTGATGCTATTTCATGTGGTATGTTTATTAATAATTTTTATAGTCAGGAAACCGTAGGTCTATTTTTTTATGTCGCAATAATCTAAGTTTTGTATATTAAGATTAGATGCTAATATCCTTAATGATGTATGTAATTAGGTAAAAAATATCATCTGAGTAGCAAACAATGAGGAGATGGTGTGATTGAAAAAATTGTGTTTCGATCTTTGATGTCCCTTTTGAGGTGATGATCACATACATGCAAAGTGCCATTTTGATGCTTTTGATAGCAAAAAAAATCCGTGTCTAATATTTATGTTCATGTGATAATAGGTTGATCTCCATTGATATATTACTGGTGATATGTTCATGCTGACGGATTTTTTTTGAACTATTGTGGCGCTTAATTTTATTCGGAACAACATCCAAATTGAAGCTGAGGTATAAATGAGACTGTGTAATTTTGTATATATTTTTTATATTGATTTACTATTGTGAATGATTTTACTGCTGGTGCAAATATTTCTAGCAAAAATACGGTTATTTGTTTAGTCATATGATATTTAAATGTTATCATCATACTATTATGTTTAAGGTCCAACCAAATGATACTAAAAAAAGTCGACTGTTTTCTAATGAAAATATGTTATTAAAATGTATTCTCATTTCATTAGTTGTAATAAACTATTTTTATTGGATGATATGAAAATGTTATTAAAATCAAAATATACTAAAAGTTTTAATCGTATCTTATTAAAGTGTTATGATCGTATTATTATGTTTAGAGTCGAACCGAGTGATATTACAAAAGCAAAAAAAAATCAAAATTTGGAAAATGTTCAGAATTCCAAAATTCTGTTGCTATTTTGAAAAAATATTTGGAACTTGAAAAAAGTTTCCCATTTTTCCAAAAATAAATTACTGTTTTATAAAATTGTTTGAGATTTCTAAAATGTTTCCTATTTTTTGAAAAGAATTACTGTGTTGCAAAATTGTTCGAGATTTCTAAAGAAAAATGGTATTTTAAAAATATTCCAAATTCAAAAAATAATCTTGGTTTAGTGAATTTTTCACAATTCAAAATAATGTTCGCGTATAAAAGATACACATTTTCGAAAAATATTATGAATTGTCAACAAATGTTCATATTTAAAAAAAATCACAAATTCAAATAATTTCCATGTTTTTATAATAAAATTTGGTGTTTTCTAAAAATGTTTTTGAATTTTTAAATATTGGTGTTTTTAAAAAATGTTTGTGAATTTTTAAAGATGTTTCTGTTTCAAATATTGTTCGCATTTTTTCTGAAAGTGTACATGGTTTTCAAGAGCATCTTTAGGATTTTAAATATGGTTCATGTTTTCTAAAATATTCAAAAACTTCATACCTTAAAATCTCCTCAATTGAAAGGAAAATTAGATTGAATAATTCATGGGTCTTCTCTGGCGTACGTTGACGTAACAAAACTCTTAAATGCGATCAATGAATGTAAAAAAAATCACAGATTGGTCACTTCAAACCTAGCGAAACCGAGAAGCTAAATGTTTCTTTTTCACGTGCACACAGAGTTTTACTTGCACATATAATTCTAATTAGCTTTAAATGCATATTATTTTCCCCCGTTGCAACGCACGGGCATATGTGCTAGTTATTTCAAATGTAAATATGGATATAAAAATGTTCTTCCCTTTTATTATATTTAAAGTTTTAATCAGCTAATAATAAAATATTCGGTTACTAATTATTTGAAATGTAAATATAGATTAATGATGGCGGCGTTGTTGCACCCATCTATTTTGACAATATAGTGATAATACGTTCCATAAGTATAAGGGAGTCCTTGATCACCAAATTGGAAGGTAAAGTCACTTTTATCCGAGACAAAATTTCGCATTATTCATTAGGAATTAACAATCTAAAATAAATGGCATCACTTGTCCAATAGTCAACATCCATCAATTCACCATCATAAAATTAGACGTACAAAGGAACAAGATACAACATCATTCATCGACATCACATACTGATATGTGGACTTTACAACCAGTAGCAATATTTCCATGGCATGTGCTTCTACCTTGTAACGCTGTCCTCCTAATCTGCACCTTTGGTTCCTTCCATTACTTGTGCTTGTCAAAGAAATGTGCCTTTTCCAACCTGGATCTTTCGATCAAATGATTTTTTTGTCGAAAAGGACCAGGTGCCCAACACAATTGTCAAAAAGGACTACCTGTAGATGAAATTGACAAAAGAGACCCCCGGTCATGGCGGCAAGCGCGACAGGCGACACGTGACACCTGCCGCTAAGGATGGCAATGGATCGGGTTCGGCTCGGGTTGAACAATATCATATCCATACCCAAATCCATGAAGACATTATGTGCCCATCCACACAAAAAATCCATGGGCGAAAAATTATGTCCATGTCCAAACCCGACGAATATCCATCGGGTATGGATAACCATCGGGTTGTCGCAACACATATACATAAGAAGTAGCACAACATTCACATAAGCTCTCAAATTCTCACAAAATGACAAAGCACAAGTGCATAACATCAAATAAGCTCTTAAATTCTCACAAAATGACATAGGACAAGTGAACATCACCAACAAAGCTCTCCGATTCTCATAATGACATAACATCAAATAAACCTAAGTACACAATTCTCTGTCCTCGTAGAATGACATAGCAATAACACAACATCATTTCTCGATCTCGATTTCTCATAAAATGGCATAACACAATGTCAAGCAAGCACATGTACCACCATATGTAGAGAGGTAAAGTCTAGCGGCATCTAGGGCTGCGGGAGGAGGAAGTCGAGGTGATGGAGATGACGCTTAATTGCGAGTCATTTACCGAGGATATAGAAGAATGAGAAGAGGCACAAAAGTTACGATGGGAACTGGGGAGGGATCGCATAGTTTCTTTTTTACTTTTTATAAAGGAAAAATACATTGAAAGATGGGATAGTGGGGATCATCGAATTTTGCCACGCATGTCATACTATCGGGTCGGGTTCGGGTATATCCATGGATACATAATTATATCCATGCCCTACCCACGATTAATCGGGTCGGGTTTGGGTTCTGCCCATGGACGTAAAAATGTACTCAAACCCTACCCATTCGGGTCAGGTATCCGCAGGTATCCATGTCCATGGATAAAATTGCGGGCCCTGCCGCCACACATTGAGGCGACCAACATCGTATAACATGTTTCCGTGTTGGGACGTAAC